CACGCTACTTTAATGTTAAAAAGTAAGAACAATAAAAAACAGTAATGAGAAACAGTTTTGTGAAGAGAAACCTGCTCTGTGACGTGTTGAAACTTAAAATTACTCTCTTACAACAGCTGGAATGTGAAAGTGGGTGGGCGGCCTGAATAGTAGCGGCGGTCAGCGGTGGACAGATTTGCGCAACAGTGGTGTAAACAGAGTGGCTGTTACCACCACCCGTGTTGACAGGTGTGAACTCCAAGTCAACCGCAGCGGACGGTGAGGTTTTCTCGGAGGTCCCTCCGTCCGTTCCTAGCCGCAGGGAATGTGGAAGTCTTGTCCCTGCTCCCTCAGGCGCGAGCGCAGAGAACTCCATGGTCTCCTGGAGGATTTGAATACATCAGCCCATCTGACAGAGACAAAGACAGAGTCCCGTTATTCTGGTCCAAACAGCAGTTCAGTACTAAGTTAATGTGCCGAGCCTTATTCACAGCTTTGACATGATGACGTTAACTCAGTGTCACCTTCAGATGCTGGACTTTGCGATGAACCCGAGGAGCTTTCCAGCGCTCCGTTGAACACCACAAAAACTGGCCCCAGTCACTTGGAACACAACACAGACCAGTTAAACCATCGACAAGAACACAAACAACAATGTGACGAGTTGTTACCTGTTACTCGAGGAAACGAGCAGCGTCTGTATGACTCTCACGCTGTGGCGGTCTTTCCCCGGCATGCTGTTGGCCTGGGTCTGATATTTCCTCTCGTTCCTGCAGAAACACCAGGTGAAGAGTCGGCCTCCGAGCTGAAAAACTTGCTCCGATACTGATGAGTGCTCGTTCGATGCATTGACCGACCCTTCTGCATCTCTGTAAAGCACGGAGAAAATCTGTTTTTATCTCTTTTGTTCAGGCACATAAACTCGTTAGAAAAGATATAGACCCGCTCTCACGTCTGTACGTTACCCCAATTATTCCCTGTAACGGCTTCAACTTACGTCCGTTGAAGCTACTTTGGGAATAGTCCCCGATGTAACTGTGGCCCATTCCATGTGGATCCTCAGGCCCTCCACGACTGACAGACTGGTACTGAGTAGCTTCCTCAGGTCCTGTGGGCAAACAGTTCAAGAGCCACTTGAATACGTCTTGTAAAGTACGAATCAGAACAAACCGACAACGTGCATCTGATTGCTGATCCTCGCAAGGCATGAATAGGAAATATCGTAGCACAAAAACTCATCTTCGTCTATAGCTTGCCAATTAATCCAGAAAATGCCTGGAATTTGTCAGTGGAAATGTAGAGCTTGAAAAAATATTTTATGTGTTCTTAAGTTGCACTGCTCTATAATTACACAGTGGGGATGAACTGACAAACTTATTTTAGACTTATTTTAACTTTACTTTGAACAGTCCTTCTGTGCCATTTGGGAAAATCTTATTCTAGGGAGATGATTAACAGCTGACAAAAACCTCCATCAGCAACTTAATTAAAACAGTCTTTAAAATGTGGTGCAGTGAAAGATAAAGAACACAAGTCCACAGTCGTGTTTTCATCCAGAATGCTTTGCGCAAATTTTACCAGAATTAACAGAAAGTCGGCAAAATAAAACTTTATGTGCGTTTCTGTCCGTCAGGTGCCATTTAAACCACCTGCAAGAGGAAGACACAATGAGATTGAGGGTCCATTAAAAGAGCAGCTTGCTTAAAACTTAAAACAAACATAAAACTAACGTAGGAACATCTGAAATTTCTAAC